TGATTCCATTGATTGTTTTCTGTTATCACAATTTTGTGAGTGGGTGTGACTTTGTATATGTGCGCACTACGTTATACGGCCCTCATTCTCATTTGTTACGTAAATACTATACATATACGTTACCAAATAAAGTGAAGGTATTATTTTTTGATTTCATTGTTTGTTCTCTGTTTTCTTGACTCTTTGGTTGCGTGCGACGTTGTATATGTGCGCACGCTTGTTTTCACGTCGCTTATTCTTCTTTGTAACGTTAAAGTGATACATACGTTACCGAAACATACGTTACCATGAAGTGAGTAAATATTTATTCTATTCTCATTGGTTTTCTTTCGCTTTGTGGGCCAACACTTATGTCTTTTATTTGTGTTTCATTAAAAAGAGTGTTGGCGCACAAAAGAAAAGACAACCAATGAAAATAGAATAAAAATATTTACACGCTTTATGGTAACGTATGTATCATTTTAACGTAACAAAGAAAAATGAGCGACGTAATATACAGCGTCACACGCAGCAACAAAGTCGCGACAACAGAGAACAAACAATGAAAACAGAAAACAAAACCTTTACATTATTTGGTAACGTATGTATCGGTGACGTATGTATCATATAAACAATTTCAACAAACGGTTTCAAGACAAGTAATCTTCTCTTGCCCTGCTTTTCCTTCTTAGTGTCATGTAGTATGCCGTAAGAATAAGGCGTTTGCTCACAAAACGGACAACAAACAATATAAAATAAAAGTATTTATATTCTTATTCGTTTCACTTAATCGTATATAAATCATTTATTGTCTAATAACTCGCAACGAAATCACCCAAACACCGCATCAAATCCCAATCGTTTTATTTCGTTAACCATTGCTATGATCTGTTGCATGCCTGTCTGCGTCACAGAATGGGTACATACCACGCATTAACTGTACTTCACCCACTCTCAAAGTATAACCCTCTACCAACTTCTCATATCCAATACTTCTGCTATTTTGTTGAACACATTCAAATTTTAATCACATTTTATCATCATCATTCAGTGCCCTGCTGTTCAGCGTTGGCGATCATGTCTCTCCAGACATCTAGGTCTCCACCTTTTATACAATTCAGTAAACCCTTTTAATGGTTGCATTCTTATCTGTATTACCGAATGCGTACATACCACGAATGAACTGTACATCAGAAACTATCACCTTCTCAGTCTTATCACTACTACCACTTCTTTGTTACACCCCGCTTTCACCTTTTACACTGTTTAAACAACACTCATGAATACTACAAAACGTATACCCTTTTTCAATACATCAACTTATAGCAACTGGTACCTCTTATACCTTCTCTTATAAACATTACTTCTCTGACCTGCTTATAATCTCTTCGTATGCCATCGATTCTATTTAAAATATTCTTTAATCACACATTTGCGATTTACTTCACCAGTCCGTCTCAGACGGCTGAAACAGTCTCGAATGAAAACTACTCGTCTCGCTGTTCCTTTTATACTAATGCACAATACTCAATCTGCGCATCTCAAATTCAACACCTATGTCTTTTATTTGTGTTTCATTAAAATAGTGTTGGCGCACAAAAGGAAAGACAACCAATGAAAATAGATTAAAAAATATTTACACGCTTTATGGTAACGTATGTATCATTTTAACGTAACAAAGAACAAGGCAGCAAAGCTGTCAAATGTACAGACAGTAAACAGTAAATAAAGATGCAAAATAGGTCATATTGTCAATTTTGATGCAATAATAAATAATGCTTATAATAGCACTGTCAGTCAACACTGAATTTTAATCATGCACAACAGGTAACATGGTCAATAACAGGAGCAAACCCAGGGATATTTTCTGACAGCATTCCAAAGTATCTATGTTGATCCCTCCTCCATTTTGATGGTCTTCCAACAGAAAAAAATAGATACCAGTCAATATAAACTTAATAACCTGACCTTCTTCCGGAAGACCCAGAAGATGGTCTCAATCCACCCCTTCAATAAGATTACAGCTTCAGGACCATGAGAGACCAAAGTCACATGATGAAAGTCTCAATATTTCAAAAATGATGATAGTGCATAAAATAATATTATATAATGTTTTATGTGGAAATACAGAAAATGTGCAGAGCCTCGAGTGGATGAGAGTTAAAAATGCAAGTATTTGAGAAAAAATTGTAAAGGAAAACATAACAAAACTAGAAAACCACCGAGAGTGCAGACCTCTGCCAAGGCAGCAATTGTTGATTATTATTGATTATTGATTGATTATTGAGCCAGACCACCACTAAAAACCAATCATTATCCTCTTTGGCCCAATTCTGACAGTTCCTGAAAATGTCAGCAAAATCGGTCCCTAACTTTTTGAGTTATGTTGATGACAGACAAACAGGGGTGAAAATATAACCTCCTTGGCAGAGCCTGAGGTAAATACAATTCCAATGAAGCTGCTATTCAAACTTTTAATCTTCGATTATATATAAATATATATATATAATATATTATATACCGGTATATATATAATAACCTGCATAATTATCACTGCTTCCTTATTATTAATCTAGCAGAGAGCTTCACTTTTGGGAGTTTACAAGGAAATATCAACAAGTGTGCTTTATGTAATCTCATTTAATGGTCTATCAATTAGGCAAATGACTTTATGACTCAGAAATTAGCTAAGTGATACCCAAGGGATATTAACAGACTGACCCTCTCAAAGGTCTTTCAGGCCCATAAGTCACATCTTAAGAAAAGCACAAAACAATAATGCACAAAATAGGAGACTACCAATTCTGATGCAATAATACATTATGTTTTACTGCACAGTCAACATAAAATTTTAACTATGCACAACAGGTAACACCGACGTAAGTAAAAGCATAAGGCTTCAGGCCCATCAGAGTTCAAGTTTATACTTAGAAAGTGTCAGAATGAGAAAAATGAAAATTTCACACAAAATTGCATTAATTCAGTAATAAAAGAATTGACCAATTGACCTGGCTTTCTAATTTGAACTGCATGCCAATCCTAAAAATCATACTTGTATGTTAAAAATAATAATAAGTAACACAGTTTTCTTTTCATAATGTTTGCAGTAGCAGTGCAAAAAGATTTTTGTCAATTTTGATGTAACATTACATAATAAATTATAGAATAATTATCACCAATTTTTTATTATTGACTATAAATAGCATGGACATATAGAAAATTTGATTACCATTCGGCTTCATGTCCATGGGAGCTCCGAGTCCCACAATGAATATGCCAAAAAGATAATAATTAATATTTCACTAAAATGTATAACTTCCAGAAAAAGAAGCCAATTAGACTGCTTTTCCAACTCAGGCTGCATTTTAGTCCTGTGTTTCTTTTTTGAAAGTTTGACAGTCATAAGTAACA